ATAATAATAATAATAATAATAATAATAATAATAATAATAATAATAATAACAATAACAATAATGCATTAAAGTAACGCATAGTCTATCCTCGATCAACAACATGCTTTGTGTGCTTTACAACTACATTTACCCCAGAAGACTCAAAAACACTTAGAAACATTCTCTGCTTCCCAGGAAGCACACAGTGCAAGCAACCAATTAAACGTTTAGATAACCTTGCGCTTTCTAAAGCAGGGTACCGATTCCCACCAGGGTGAAGTGAGGAAAAATTCGTGGAAATTGCCTTTCCCAATGACGCAACTTCGGGCCGCTGGCAGGATTACACGGTTTCATAATAGGTGTTACAACGACTGGACGGTCAATAACAAGGCACACATACCCAAAAATGTTTAAGTATTTGACAAGTTAATTTTTTCTTAAATCAAATATAGTTGCCATACCACAGACAATTTTCTCAAAGATTTTTATTCTCTCTACAAAAAAGCGTCCTCACAAGTAAAGGGTGGATTTTTCCAAATATCACCACCGGGGCGGAAGAAATTCTTATGTTATTTCATTTCTCAAACAGAAGTTCTTTAAAAACACTCTTTGCTCAGGCTCTTTTCACAGACACGTCAATCCCTTATAACAGTGTCACACAGGCTCTAATGTAACAATCACCGTCGGCATTTTGATGAAGTTTTTTGTTTGTTTTTTAGGGGGGGGGGTTGTAAAGTGGCTAAAATGTAAGATTGAACCATCTCGTGATATACATTCGGTGTCTTCTGTAACGGACAGTAGAAAAGGTGGTAACAGTGTATGCGTATAATTGACCATTTTGGTGCGTCCTATACAAATACGTATTACTTCTTGTTGATAGGGCTACTCTGCGGCGATCAACAGATTAGCTTTCGGAAATATCTCTCGTGAATGCCTTTGGTGCGTCTTTATGAATTACGAAAAAACAAAAATACAGCATGTACAAAGCGTTACAGGTTTTGGTACAGACACAGCTCGATTGAGGGTTGAGGGGGTCGAAAGGGAGAGGGAATGTGCATTTTGTTCTTTTTCAATCTATCTTGCTGTTTCCACTCTTTAGCTAAAAATCACTCTCGCTTCAGTAGACGCCCTCGCCCCCTATACCTTCCTCTCCAGATTTGGCAGGCTCCGTGCCGAAGAACAATTGGGTCACTGAGCTCTTTTTCTTTTTGAACACGTCTCGAACGTCCGTCCTTCTCTCCAGGCGGTCTTGAGACCTCTGAGAGACAACGGTCAAAATTGCCTGATTGTTTTCGTCGTCATCTTCATCCACCTCTTCCAGAATATTATCTGACCCAAGATACGTATCAGTCACACTCAAGCGGTGTCTGTAAATGTTAAGTGCGTTGCCGAGATGGTTAATTCTGTTCCCTCCCCCAGCCCCTTCTCCTTGTGCTGTGCGGATAAGATCTCCCAGAGAGCACCGTCGGTTGTGTTGACCTCTGGGTTTTCCCGTAGCTTCTTCCATACTGTGAGATCTCCGCTGCATGAGAACTTTGGAAGATTTCTCCTTCACCTGGCTGCCTCTTACATCCTCTTTAGACAAGGAGCCTTCATTGGGTCTTTCTCCAACCGTTTCGTCGGGATGATTTGCTCTGTACATTTCCCGCAAGTGGTTGATGTCTTGGGCGCTACACAACGGTGTCGATGCCGGAACAGTGCCATTGAAATTTGACAAGTCCATGTCGTAACTTCCGGAGCAGTTAAGACTGAGACCAAGATCTGAAAATCTGCAATTGAGCACGGGGAGTCCAGATTAGTTTGAATTTTGGGACCCCTGAAACAATGGTTCACAAATTTTGAAGAAAAAAAATCATAAACCCAATGACTACACCTTAAAAGCTTGATTGGAATGTTTCAGGGTTCACAATGTGTGAGAATGTATTCGTTCTAATGCTTGCGAGCTATACAAAAGCTATATTTTATCGTTCAAATAACACAGAATAGATCTAGATCAACTTTAAGAATATCTTCTCCAGGATTGCCTTTGAGAGCAATCGAAGCACTGTTCAGTAGCACATGTTTGTGACTCAACGTAAAAGGGTATCCAATTAACCAGGTTTAAAAAAAACACTAAATAACGAGCTTGACCTGGTCATCAAGCATCATAACTAACATGTCTACATAACAACAATGAAACCCTATGACAGTGTCAAACAACAAAATAGACAAGAGGCAGGACTTATTTTCAGCCTCTATAAACTAACAAACCATAATCGACAAACATTCGCACAAAACTGGACCCCCCCACCCCCCCCCCCCCTACCCGCCGCCTTTTCCAGAATCAAGAACCTCAGAACTTGGCTTGTTCTCCCCCATCCCTATACCTGTACATGGCTACAGAACAGTTGCAACAAACTATTAAACACCACTCCATAGCACTAGGCTGAAATGCGCGAGTTGCAGGTGTGTCTAGGACAATAACAATAACAACAACAACCACAACAACAGCAACAGCATCACAAGCAAAGCAACTAATAACAGCCAAATGAATGCTATATGACACAAAACCTTGGCATAAAACGAAAAAAGGCACCACGTCAAAGTACAACTGTACATTGTTTGGAAGTCGTGTGAGGACGTACCTGTGGCCCCACACCATCTCCGTAGTGTGGTACGACTTGCGAGCCTGGAAAGGCGTGCTGGTAGACACACACACGCCGTCGATGACGACAATCAGCTCGTACTTGCCGCTCAGGAGCTCATCCCTGGAGATACACCAATTACACTGAAGAAACACCACACAGCGTGGTTTTGCTGTGTATCTGAAAATATTGCTTCTCTGAGCACCGTTGAAAAACGAATCTAGAATGACGGAATCTAAACGCACAAAGTTTGAAAGGTATATTTGACAACTTTTGAACCTATAACTGAAAGCAAGAGTTTTGTATAGCTTACGTTTTCAATGTGTTTGTCGGGTTTACTTACTAATACAAGAGGGAAAAAAAACGAATTTGAAATTTCTTTGAGCTCTTTGAGTTGTGACAGCTGACCTCATGCTACACCATTCCTACATCCGAATACAAGGTAATCTTAATAAAAGATGACAAGATAAATTCAACCTAAGATTAAAGTGTAAGACTCCGGTAGATTTGTCAACGATGCGTTGATTTGCTTTTTTGGTGTTTGCTGCTGTTTTCGTTTGCTTCGGATTTTTTTTAGCCTAAAGCCCTTTGAAACTCCGAGCAAGACTTTTGGAAGACAGAACACGCATTTTTCTAAATACAGCACATTTTCCAGAGAAAAGAGTCCAGAAAAAAAAACTGACTAAAATATGCCAATTCCAATCTCAGCATCTACCTTTTAAAAAGGGCGATTAATAATTAAAAACATTCCTACCTTGAAAGGGACCACAGAGCTGACGCTTCGTCCACTTTGTGCAAGATTTGAGTCGGCCAGGAGAGGAAGATCTCATCTCTGCCACTTTCCGCCTTGAAGCTCACTTGGTAGGACCTCACAGGAACAAAAGTTCCTGCAGATTTTACATTAATTTTTTTTTAAATTATAAAACAGAGTTACAATAAACAAAGGTTCTAAAAGTATGAATTCGTGAAAAAGTCAACTTGAAAAAGGAGTCTAACAGTAACACCCTTGACTTAATAAAAACTAAGAGGAAAAACTGCACTCTGCGACAAACCACAAAAAACAAGAAATAGAGCATCATAACATAGTCAAACCAAAGCACTCAAGGAAAAAGGAGCTTGGCGAATATAGAACAGAATAATACAACCTTTTCATCGATTTTATCAAATAAGATTGTGTGTTAAAGTGGTAAATGTTGCTCGCAAAAAATGTGGGTTCAGTCTCAAAGGCAATTGTTTGTAATTGGCTTTTCTCGGGGGGGGGGGGGTTGTTGTTGTATTTAGTAATTTACTTTCTTTTGTTTTGTTTTCTGGGGTAGTGGGGTGAGAGGGAATTTCATTGAATACCTCAATTTTGTACTATACACCAGCTGATATATCACCTGAGTTAACAGTGAAGTCATTTACAGTAAAGCCACGTACCATCGTGTGATCTGTACTTCTTAATTAGAAATCCTTTAGCGTGAGCCCCGGCAATTTCTGACTTCCTCATGTCTCCAACCCTCACAGAGAGCTGCAGGTGAGTGTTGTCTTCATAAATACACACCTTGTCGCTAAACAACACAGTTCCGCTCCTCCTGGGGGTAAGAGCATGCAATGATTAAGTTTCTAGAGCAGAAAATCTTGAGGCTGAAAGTATATATGACAAAAAGTCAACTGATCCTAACCTATATCTTAAAACACCTATCCCTACTCCAAAAGTAAATCATGATGACCGCCACATATTGTTACTAATTCAAAGCCTTCTCCGATTTCGAAACTAACGCTTAGCTCAGTGGATGCTGAGCAGGTCTTGTTCCTCCTTTACAGTCAGATTTTTTTTCATTAGCGATGGACTGTAATATCAGGAGAGCCAGAGGACAACATAAGAACATGGACTGGCCTGGATATGGCAGAATGTGCAAAGGCAGTTCGCGATCGTGAAAGATGGAGGGTCATTACACGTCAACCTTCGGGTCAGAGATGACACCTCCAGATGATGTAATTGCAACTGTTTCATGCCCCACTCGACACAAATCTATGTAGATGGTGTATAATGTGGGTAACGTTGATCCTGCCTGTCACGGCTAACCCGGGCTAAGGTACAATGACCCAGGAGGCAGGAGATGCCCCATAAAAACACTCCCACCAGAGGAACTAAAATAATAAGTCTCCTCCTTATGACGGCGAAACGCCTACTTGTTCCACCACATACGCCCATTCTCGATAGAGGAATAAATGGAAAACACAAGAACATTGTTTAAAAATGAAGTTCCTTTACGATAAACTGAAAAAGGTGGTGGATACCTTTCATGCCCGACACTTCCACTGTTGTTTATTTTAGAAAAGCATGTATCTTGTCCTCTTTCCATGTGTGGCGTCATCTAAACCCCCCTTCCAACTGAATGCTGCTTCTCTTTTGTTGGCAGTTTTGCAGAATTGAATTAAATGCATCCAAAGCAAAGTATTCCAAGGATTTAAATATATTATACACTTGGCAACTTAGAAACACGTTTGTCATTTTTTCCATAAAACTGCAACAGCTACAGAGTTGAAAGTTGGCAAGTACCTGCGAAAAGATAGATAAGCCCCCAAGACAGAGCTCGATTTTTTATTTATTCATTTCCTGAATTTAGAAAAATATATTTAACAAAAAGTTCTCGTCCTTCTTTGGCCTTTGTGATTATTCCACTGAGAAATGAAACAAATCTGCGTAGCTGGCCTTCACAACGGAAGTGCCGGAAGTGATATTTCGCGAGGCGCATTTTGTTTTGAGAGTATAGATCTCGTCCTTCTAAACTTTTGCATCTCTCAAGATTTATTGCTCCATCCCGGTAGAATGTAAATATAGTAGGCCAATGACTTTCAGTTTATGTTAATGCACCGATCATTTCTTTCATCGAAAGGGGGCCCTGCTAGTTTGTATAATCTTAAAGAATAGTGTTTAATTGAATGCATTTTGATCGAATGGTTTGCAGCCTTGCATATAGAGATCCATGACTCCGCTGCAAACTATAAAGCAACCGTTTGACTTTCAACTTCTGACATTCAACCGAACGTCAGTCGGTCTTCACACAGCTCCCCTTTTCGTCATCACTCTTAACTGATTGCATTTCAGTTTAACGGGCGGGTGTATTGATCGAATGACTGGCTTGACACAGTACACAATGTCTCACCTCTTCGCTCTCCTTGTTTTCGATACCACCACACTAGCCAAGGCGAACTGAAGACCGGCTCCAAGAATAGACTGTAACATGACGGCCAAGAACACCCCTGGGCACTCCTCGGTCTGAGAGCGGAAGCCGTATCCGATAGTGGTCATTGTCTCGATAGAAAACAGATAGGCACTGGTAAAGGAATTCACGTTCTCCACACAAGGCGTTATCGTTGAGTTGGTCTCCAAATCTCCGTGGAGAGACCCTAACAAGTAGTAGAAGCAAGCGAAGATGACCCAAGTGAAGACGAAGACCCCGACGAAAATAAGAATGTTCCATCTGGGGGGAAAAAAACATGGTGACAAAAGGCGATCAGTTTGGTTGCAAATGTTCTACTTGGGTTTATAGAGGAATATCGGCATAATGAATAAAGGTCATTTAGTCACGGGACAAAGCTTTACTTGTTTGCTCATTTCAGTACAGAGAAGAAGCACATCAGGCCATTTACTTTAGTCCTGGGGGAAAGTAATACAGATAGACAGAAAAACAGTGTAAGGGGGAATAGGGATAAAACAAGACAGACAGATGAGACAGAACAAAAGAGCCACAAGCCTTAAAAACGATTATTCAAAGTTATCTATTTTGTATAGAAACCTGATTACATTAAAATTTGATATTATTGTTATGGCCACATGAGAAAGCATAAAAGAGGACAAGTAAAGCTAAATACAAAACAGACTTGTCATCTGTTTTTAAGATAAAGGAAATGAGTGAGATGAAAAACTGTTGACCGCACTCACTCGCTGATAAAACTTCGTGTATACGAGTGATCTGGCGTCGTGTAGACTGGTGTCTGACAGTCCTAACCGTTTCTAACTGGTCATTACGGCACTGTCTGACCTTTCTCAATTTCACAGGGCGTTATAGATACGTGCCTTGTGTGGCGCTAATCGCACAGCTTGTATTTTTCCGCAGTGAAATAACACCAGCCGTGCCACGGACACGCCTCGCTACATGGTTCGGTAGCAATGCGGAAAGGTTAAAGTTGAAAACATAAACACAGTTATGTGGTTTATTATGGAGTGGAATGAGTGTGTTCCCAGTGAGTGGATATTAGCCTATGAACAATAATTGTTCTATTGTGTTGTCTTTTTATGTTCTTGTTGTTGGCTTATTAATAATATGTTTGTTACTGCTTTCGTCGTCGAAGTTCTTTGTTCGCTTGTTTATTTTTCGTTTGCGATATACCTGTCCATTGTTGATCTTTGAACAGCTTTCATTGCTGATTTTGTTTCTCGTGCTCTCATTTTTTGTTATTTCTATTTGTGTCAGTGCTGCTAATTCTTGTGCCAGTTTATTTACAAGTGAGTGCATTGTTCGCGCGTGAGTGCAGGAAGATGTACGACAGAATTTAGGCTCAGAGCGAGAAGGAGAGGGAAGCTGGGCATAACGATGATGATGAGGGCGATGAGGGGGAGGAGAAGGGAGAGGAAGAGGAGGAGGAGAGGGAGGGAGAAGGAGCTGGAGGGGAAAAGGTGTTAGGAAAAGACGACAAAGAGGAAGAAAGAGGTTGAGTAAGAGAAGTAAGAGAGTAAGAGTAGCTGCGGATACAAAAGAAGATAGCAAGTTAATAGCACGATGATTAAAAATTTTGCAAAGAACACAGAAAGAAATTAGATAAATGAGAAAGAGCAGAAAGGAGTGGGGGGTCACAGGAGTAGAAAGGGGGGGGGGGCAAGGAGGTGGCTCAAAGAAGATCAGGAGAAGGACGATTAAATTAACGAAACGTTATTTAACTTCGAGGTCTAGGAACAGCTTCCTTACCTCCATTGTATGTCGATGAGCGTGGTGTAGATGTCGCTCATGTACTTCCGGTGTTTGTCTGGCACTGAGACAGACACGATGTTGTGACCGGCACTGCGCATCAACCTCTTTCTCGAGAGGTGTCTGTCTACCTGTCGTCGGCGTCTGCACAGATTCATGGTTCACTTTTTCTGTTTCTGGCAGCAGAGTTGAACGTTCTTTGTGTCACTCATATGCCATCTGCAGGGTGGGAAAATTGCATTTGCTGTTAAGAGTACATTTTAGCTTGCTAGACAGCTGAGGGAGGTGAACTCAATTCTATTTTTTGGTTCGTTGAAAGCCATGTGAAAACGTCCTTTGACAAAAGAATAAGGGATCTACATTCAGGATGGTATTCTCTTCAGTAAAGGAATCATTTTACTGTAAGAGTCATGGGCATAGAAACCATCAGACTAGCGGACGTGTGTTTAAAGAAATACGTGCAGCCCAGATATACGACACACAAACAGAGGAAGACGGCAAGGCAGGCAAACTGTAAACAATTACAGAGTGTGCCCATACACATACACTTACACACACACACACACACACACACACACACACACACACACACACACACACACACACACACACACACACACACATATATATATATGTACACACTCCCAAATACACACATGCGCACTAGAAAACATCCCAATGTGGACTTTCGACCATCTTCAAGATTAAAACCTTGAATGGACTTGGGAGCAGCTGAAGAAGTGCTTCAATGGTTAAAAACTTGATAGCTTGAACTCACTTCTTCGAGAATTGCAAAGTAAGTAAAACAAAATACTCTGTGTGTCATATCCAGAGAGAACCGTATGCCTTTTGTGGAAATTGATGCAGTCTTGAGTATGTTAGTCGTACATGGACCCTAGTGAATAACAAAAGAATATTATGAGATTAGCTGGTGCTGTATAATTGACCATGTTTCAGCAAATTGTGTCCGACGAACTGTGTAATTATTGCACACTTCATTTAATAAAATGGTCGTTAGTTACGCGTTTCTAATCGCCGATTGCCGAACAGTATGTCAACGGAATGCAGTGTTATCCCTTGGATTTCCTCTAATATTCACGCCACCATCTGGTAAAAACAAGGGTACACAGTGGTCTTTTCTTGCCCACAAGCGTGCCGGTATATCAAAGTCTTGCTTTGCAATTCATAATTAATCAAAATAGATCATATCGTTCCAGGAACTCTCTTAATCCAGATTCATGCTATACACCTGTGCAAGTTTATAATGAACAACCATATTGTTTTTATTGAGTACTGTATAAAGAAAGACATTGATTACAGGCATGCTGCCCACTAGGTAGCTTTTGTAACAGAAACAAAAGCTTTGTTTGTTTGTTTGTTTGTTTATGTGTTTGTTTGTGCAAACAGAAGCACATCGACACAACAATGGTCACTTAGTGCTGGAAGAAAGTAAGACAGACGGACGGAAACAACAGAGGGAAAGTAAAGATGTAGGACCTACCAGTGATGCCCTCCAACCGCCAACATACAAATGCTTTAAAAAAATTATATAGATCTATTTATTCTTGCTTCAGATGCGCTTTTTTTTTTACCTGGTACTAATTAGAATGGTAGCGTGAACATTAGAGGAAATCCAAGAGATAGTGGAGACTGTGTGCAAGTAGCTGCCGATACGGCCTTTTGATGGGGTATCTGGGGCAACTTTTAGCTGAGTGCTGAAGTGGGGAATAAGTGGGCACGAACACGTGGAAAGAGGGAGGAGGCGTATGAGCAATAACGGCCTGCATTATACCACTACATGGATCTATCTATTTTCTAAAAAGACTCAGTGCTCAATTTGCTTCATTTTGTAGGACGAGCCACTTTGAGAATGTGAATGCTTTTCACTATGATTTGTTCGAGAAAAAGAGCAGTCACGTGTTTGAGGGCGGGAGAGGGGTGAAAGGGGACAGGAAAGTTCCGCTAGACCCCACATTTCTGGAGCCTGTGAATCTGGCATTTTCCGGACAACTGTGTTTTTCTACATGTATTTTTTTTTTACCTGGTATTAATTAGATGGTGGCGTGAACATTAGAGGAAATCCAAGAGATAGTGGAGACTGTGTGCAAGATCCTCTACCATGTCCTCACACACTCACTCCTCGGGGAAGGGGGGATATTTGACGATGTGTACTTTTGTGGTTTTAGTCTGCCTCAAAACAGCACTTCCAAGGCCCGTTTGTAAATGTTTGACACAATAATCCGTCTTGAAGACGACGTGAAATGGAGCAACTTCTTTTCTGATTTTAACAAAGTTGTCATCACATCCTAAGTAAAAATGAGTGTTTGGGGCCTCTGTGTTTACATATTTTACCTAAAACCAAATTTTATCAGTCATAATTGACCCTAGGTCCCTAAAACTCTGCATTGTGGAAAGTGTACATAAACGGTGCATGTGGATAGAGATTTTGAGTATGAAACAATGTTTGTCAATGAAAAATGAAACACGTTGTCATTTACATGATCGTGGCAAAAGGCTTCATTTTGCTTTGGTGGTCTTAGTGGAAGTCGAAGAATGCGGTTACGAAGATGGGCTTTATGTGTTTTAGTATTATTCGGACAAAAAAGGTACGAAAGTTATTTTAAAAAGCTGATACTTCCATTAAAACATAGAAACGTGAGTTGCTTCCTGGGGAGGATAGAACAAATAAGTCTTGTCTTTCCACAGCCTTTCTTCCAGTTGGCCTACTTGTATATTTACGATAAGGATGAGGGTTCTGGATCAGGCATTGCTTTGTGTCTTCTCTTTATCCGAAAGCAAAATCAACACACATTAATAACGTGGAAGCGTAAATGTCACGTTTGTTCAAAAGAAGACTCAATGTGTGTTCAGTAAGAACGAAGAACTGAAACCAAAGCCAGTATACTGAGTATGTGTGACTCCAAGCGACACAAGGTCGAAACTCTGCCGAGGTCATTGTTAATAATAACATTATTTTGGTCATGAATAGAAACACACAGCATGTTAGGCCAAGAGAAAAACAAAATTCACCTCACACGTAAATGAAAAATACGAAGAAAGTGTACTGAAACAAACGAATGTTTATTTTGTTTTGTTCGCTTTCTGTTGTTTTTGTTTTTGCTCAAGGCACGAACGAATTACCTGGCTTCACTTTTCTCCTGGCTGAATACAAACTACACTGACACGGTGAAAATAACTCCTTTGCTGCATTTTATTCCACATGTATCCAAAGGTTCACAACTTGTGTTCGGAGTGCTTACATATGCATTTGGCCGTTCACATGATTAGAAAGACGACTGCGAAGTCTGATTATGGAATTTTGGTGCAGATTTACTCAATAGTTCTTAGCAATTATCATTACTAGCATATTTTATCAAAATCATCCAGTTCTGTGACAAGAAAGAGGTGTGTTCATGAAGGTCTACGATTGCCGTGAGTTGAGAACAGGTGAGAAGGAAATGAACACATGTCGTCATTAGTCTGAAAAGCGTAAACATCGTATCACAGGAGAATATCTTAACGTTTACAAGCTTAACATAACAGCTTAGTGGAGGATTTATCACAAACTTTCTGGAAATACACACACTGTATTATTATTATTATTGAGATATGAATGATTTCCAAGGCCACAGCTGTTCTGCCGTATTACAACCTGCCATGGCAAAGTGAAAGTGTTTGCAATATGTCACCTCGAGGAAAAAATGCTGGTTTTACCATACGATTTTGTGAGGTAAAAGTAAAAGCAAACTGACAAATGTTTTGAAAATATTAAAATGTATTAGGCTCCTTAAACTCCCACCTCCCCACCATCATTCTTTCTCCCCTCTCTTTCTTTTCTTTTCTATCCTACACTCTCTCTCTCTCTCTCTCTCTCTCTCTCTCTC